GCATTCCTGCAAAGCCACTCTACTTTAATGACAGATACCTGAATGTGAAAAAAGTTTTGGTTGATACTTTCTTTGGTCCTCCAAAGGAGGGAGTATACAGCCCATCTGTTCAAAGCACTCTTTATCAAATGGCAGAGGCTGTTCTTGCAAGGTCTCTCCCTCCCTCCCTCTCTCTCTCTGTCTCTCTCTCAAAATGACAACATGGCTAGATGCATTCACTTGTTATGGTTTTATATGTGGCCTTTGTTGGTGAATGGAGATTGATTCTTGATTGTCATGTTTTCAGGTTTCCTGATATATCATCAATCCAATTAAAAATGCCGAATATCCATTTCCTGCCGATTAATCTATCAACCAAAGAAAATCTTATTGTGAAGGTAGGATTTCCTTCCACATTTTCTGTTGATTTCACGGAAAACTTTTTGAGTCGTTTGAAATCCCGGGGATTAACTTGAGAGACTACCATTAAAACAAGCAAACAAATATTTTGACTTATTCAATTCTTATGTTATGCTGCCCTTGGTTGAGGCTGTTAAGAGCATATAGCTCATATGTGCATCTTTCTTTTGATTACATAGCCAGTAATAAGGGGTGAGAATGCTGTGGTGTGGTTCTTACTTGGGAAGATCAGATTCATTAATCAAAGGGGTCTATGGGTGCAATGTAGTTAACTAAGCGAATGTTTATATGATTTTGTGATTGTTGATGCCATTTTTTTTAATATGATTTTGCAGTTTGAAGATGATGTTTATTTACCAACAGATGAACCACATGGATCAATTGAAGCGAGCTTGAGCCGCATCTTGTCCAAGATGTAAAGCTGCTGCTAAGTAGTGTTTTCAGTTGTCTTTTTTTCTGCTATGTCCTCAAAAGGGTTCCATTAGTATACTTGGTGGAATCTAGTGTATCTTAGCCAAACCCTTCGCATGATGGCTTGACATGTGGTTGTATGGTCTGGAGATGCTTACTTGTCTTGCAATGTGTATGTAAATTATGTTGTTTAAATAATCAGCTTCTTGCTGACGATTGTGTATTTTAGAGTCATCTCAGTCTTTCATGACGGTTGGTGTTTTCTTTCTGGCGAATCTGTGTCTTTCTTTTCCTCCTAAAATTATAAGTTTGGGGAGAAGCTTTTAGATAATAAAAGTAAATAGGCAAATTTAGGTGGACAGTTCCTCAGCATGATGCATGAAGTCCACAACGAGTTTTTAACGGTTATTTTTGGCATTGCCAAAAGAGACCTTATTAGCTTTCACAGTTTATTATGTTTGGACTATGAAGTCCATCTGATTAGCCAAGCAAAAGTTTATAAGCGATTTTGGCCCTCTTTATTTTTAACTTGTGAAACCAAATGATCGTAGGGCACAGTCGTAGAAATCCAAATCAAATGATTGGCTACGAGGCTATGAGGCCTCCTCAACTGTCCCGATTTCTCACTCTGGCAAGAGTTTCATGGTGAAGACTAAAGACAGCTTGTCTTCATTATTGAACAATGTCGGTGTGGTGCCTAGGGCTTCGGTTGATATGTGATGTCAAGTTGACATTGTACCATCAAATTCATGTTTATAGAATAGAGAGAATGGCCTAAAAACGAAAATGTTTGAAGTTTTTAACAATATCAATTGGATGTTATATGATGTTAGGAAATTGACAATTTTTAATCAGGATCGATGAGATATAAAATAGCAAATAAGAAATATAAAATGAATTGAATTAATCAAATACAAAAAAAAATACTAAGATTTACGTTATTTATTCCACAATAAGATGATATTATATTCACTGTAGTTTCACTACTATATAAATATAATTTATAGAAATTAGGATAACGTCAGAGATGGAGTTATAGAGGGCCTCCCAAGTTTTGGAAAATTACATTTGCACCTCTATGTTTTATGATATTTGTAAAATATATAATAAGAATGTTCATTTTTTGAAAATAATTTTTCTAAATCTTTATTTTATTAATTTTTCACAATATATGATAAGATGTTCTTTAACTATTCGGCATGTTAAATAGCATCAATATAATCTAATCACTTTATTTATGAAAAATGCTACTAACTATGAAAATTTACCTTGAAAGTTATTTTAAAAATGAAGTGAATGGTATAGAATTAAGTTGGTGGGATGTGAGTTATATTACGATTTTAGTGCATAGATGTACTACTTTTCTTGAGTACTTTTTGGATAATTTTTTTTTCTGTATATGTATCATTGTTGTTATTTATAAAATATGTGTATGCCACATTATTATTATTATTTTTAAATCAAAAAGGTATGTATACTGTTTATTTACTTTAATTTTATCAACCAACAAAATGATTTCATTATTGGTTCAAAACTTGAGAAATTATTATTTTTTCTTTTCATAAATTACTTTGTTCATTCATATGTAAAATATTAGCTTGTTATAGTAATGTACCGATACAAAAAAAAAACTTGGCCCCCTTAAGTATAATTTCTAGTTCCGCCCCTGGACAATGTAGATGCATACAGAAATTACCAAAATATTCATAAATTTGGTTTTGATTGATTTTCCAAAATTTAAGTTTTTTATTTTCCGTATTTTTAATGATTTTTTTGATATTTAAGCAATTTTTTTTTTCTTCCTTTTTTGATGCACCTAACGCAGATGTATATAAAGGTGGTGTTTGTTTGAAATGATTCAAGCATGAGATATGACTAATAGTCCATCCGAACTAATAATCTGTTGTTTGATTCAAAATTTTTACACCAGACTAATAGTCCATCCGGACTATGAATCCCAAATTTATGAATTGTTCTATCCTATGGGGGGTGGGACACAATTCATAGGATAACTCATCCCTTGTGATAAGATAGTGAAATTACATTTTTGACCGTCTACTATTTAATATCTTTTTAAAAATAAAATTTATTTATTAAATTATTCATACTTTATTAAATTATTTATACTTAATACATTTATTTATTAAATTATTTAATAAATTATACTTAATAAATTATTTATACTTAATAAATTTTATTTATTAAATTATTTATACTTTATTAAATTATTTATTTTAATAATCATATGGTATTAATTATACTTAGTAAAGTAAAATAAAATTTAACTTAAAAATCTCAACTACAAATTAAAATAAATTTATGTAATTTTTCTTAATATTCTATTTATTTAATTTTTTAAAAGTTCTAGTAAAAAAAATTAAATAAAATTTATAATTCAGATTTAATATTCCTATTATTTAGTAAATAATTCAAAAGGGCAAAATAGTCTTTTGAACATTTATCTTTCTCCATAATATCCCAAACAAACATAGGATTCAATAGAATAGTCCAATTTAGACATCTAATTTCATGACTACACAAACATAGGATACAAGTTCAGTCCAATCAAATAGTCCGTGGACAATGTATTCCAGGACTAACAGTCCGGTGGATTACAATCCCTCCTTATCTAGTCTGTTTAAACAAACATGCCAAAAAGTAAAATATTTATGAAAAAATATTTTAAAAAATCAATAAATATACAAATATACACAAATAGATTAAATTTTATTATTTTTAGTATTAAAAAAATTCACAAATATTATACTTATTTTAAGTATATTTACATTAGGGATATTTAAAATATTAAAAAATTGTTTAAAATATTAAAAAAATTCAGTAAAAAAAAACAAAAAAATTCAATTTTCTAAAAAATGGAATAAACAAACAAGGTGAATTGCATTTCCTTTGTAAAATTTTGGAAAAATTACGAGAATCTTCTTTGTTTGAAATTAGAGATGTGTCTAGAAAAAGAAAAAGGACTTGAAGCCTTGACGACAACAACACTGCGCGCAGGACCAAGCAACGCAAGCAAGGATCAGCGCTTTCTTCAATCGTCAACCATCACCCAAATCCTCAAACCAGTCTCAACTTCTTCATCAAACCCAGAATCGTAGCTCCACTGCCCAACAGCGTCTTTGTTTGTATGTCCCTTGCGGTTTTGTGTTTTTGTGTTTTCATTCTAGTTAGTGATTGTACTTTCAAACCCACATTCTAGTTTTTGATTTGAGAGTGATCATCAATTGAGGCGTCAAATGTGTTTGTATAATTGTCTCAGTGAAAACTGAATAGCAAACAGTATTGTACAATCCTCCATCTGTTTAAAATACAGAAATTAAAGTTAGGTTCGAGCCTTCCCCTCAATTTGTGCGTGTGAGTGTGCATTTGTTGGGCGATGGTAATCATTTGGTCTTATTCTTGAGGGCTATGCTACATAGACTTGCGCTATGTTTTATATATTTAAATCTTAAACTATGTAGTACCAATATTTCAAAATAGGTGTTGTAGAAGTATCGGATACGACAAATAAGTATTTGATTAATTTTTTTTTTTTTTTATAAATTTCGAATATGGAAGGTATACGCAAAGGATACGTGAGGGACGCAGTAGGATACAGGAGGGATACGCTAAATAAGTATCCAATTTATTTTTTTTAATATTTTTATATAACAATTAAGTATCTAATTTTTTCCTTATATTTATATTTATATTTATATTTTCTCAATGGTCAATGTTGTCTCCCTCTTTCTCCCTCTTTTTCTATATCTCTTCATATTCTATGGACCTTGTATTTTCATTATTTATTCCCTTGTGATAGACGTATTTCTACTTTGTTAGCTTTGCTATAAGGGCTGCTCACTCATGTATTAAAAAAATCACACTGTTTCTGTTGGCTGTATAATTTGTATAAACCAATTACAATTCAACACGTGGCATGAAAAGGGCAATTTAGGAAGGTAATATAAATTGCCAACCCTAGTCAGACACGTGTCAACCCATACTGGTAATAATGGGTCTACATAACACTGGAATGATCGAGGAATATAAGGTGATGTGGCCTAACGGTTACTCACAAGGTTCAAATTCAAAATCAAGAGGGAAGCCTAACTGCAAACGTGGCGTAGTGGGGTTGATTGTGAGAGAGCATGATCAACGATCATGGAGGGACATTTCGACGGTTAGGAGCCCACTTCGACGATTATCATTGAAAAGTATAAATAGCAGAGAAGGCCCCAGAAAGGAGGATCCAGACTCAGATAAAAAAATCAGTTTTATTTACTTTATTTTCCTTTCCAGTTGTTACAGTTCTTTACATTTCTCTACTTCAAATTCCCATATTGCACTTCATTCATAGGAGTAGTTTCAAATAGCTTGCGACTGCAAACCTCTATGAGGCTGGGTCAGATCATTGTAAGTTTTTCATTTTACTTAATGAAATTCTGCAATTATTCTTCACTTAATTGTTATTTACTAAATTCTCCTAAACAAGCTACTAGTAAAAGTCCTCTTTATTGAGGCTGAAAGAACTAAAACACAATTGTCTGATAATTGGTTGGCAATTAATTTTCTGTAAAGACTGATTGATCCTTGCTGGCACGTTTAAAATTACAATACTAACCTTCGAAAGCTAAAAAACCAATAGTTTCTATTTTTTAATTATTGTCTATTGTCTATTGTTGTTTTATTTTATTTTTTAATTTTGAAAATTATGACTTAGTGCTCTTGTTATCATTACTTGTCATGCCCCATTTTTTTTTATCAACAGATACCATTACCAAATCCTACATTATAACACAATTTCAGAGATCATGCGCAGAAATTTAATACAATAACGAGTACTATTATTAAAGGTTCTCTCATTCGAATATGAAGTGAATGCAACATGAGATAAAAATAAATAAATTGCTTGTAGGCTTACATCTTTTAAATTAAAAAAAAAAAGGTTTAACCCTTTTACATCAATGGCATTTCGCCTATAAATAAAAGGCCACGAGGTCAACACATAAAGAAAATTCTCGATCTTGAAACCCTTCTCGACGTTCACTTGAAAAAGGATTAGCAACGTAGGATGAACATAAAGTCCAATAGGAATCCCAATATGATCCTAAACAATAATAACATACAGATAGCTATGATCATGAATGCTTTAAAGCATATCATATACATAATGTGACGGCTTATACAAAAATATACTTATATAGGAACTTTTCTCAAAATCATTCATTTCGTTCAACAACATAAGCAATTTAC